TATAGACACATAATGCAAATAGTATCCATCAGTCGTTATCAATTCCAATTTTGATACGCGACTTTCGATCACGCGCATTAATGTCGACGCGGCCGATCACGGAATAAAGAACAGCATTCCCAAGGCATTCCTCGTCGGCAATTACATCCATTGACGTCGATGGTCTCTATTTTCCTTATTTTTTTCTTAGCAATACTTTTATCTTTTTTTTCTCTTCTGCTTTTTTTTCTTCAGATATTTATAATCAATTGAAGCGATACAAGCGAATCCATTAACGGTAGCACGACTGGAAGACTGAGTTATTAGTATTTGCAATACTTCTCGCGCTCAAAATTCGTAAGCGGCTCAAAAAATGCCAGGCGAAACGAAAAGACGAGAAGAGTCATGAAAGCGCTAACGAGTCGCTGTTTACCGAATAAATGAACGTTATTAAATGTGGAAATTTTCGAATAATTTCGCATTTGGGTCAACGAACGACTACGTGTTCACGCTTGACATTTCGCACCAGCGATACCAAGCACAAAATTGTCCAGTTTTGCAACTTTTTCTAAAGAAAGTTTTGCAATAGCAGAAAGAGATCCATTCCATTCTCTTTCTCTCTTAAATTCTTGTTCAAGAATTAAAATCGTGGACAGGCATAATAAATTGCATTAATTGCAATTAATATATTAAAATTGTTACATAATTTTTTTATCGCTTTCGAAAAGTCGTGTTATTAATATTTTTAATTTAATGTTTTGCTAATGTTACTAGAAACTACGATCTTCCATCTACGCATTCCATGCAGATTCTTCATATATGGCACAAAACCATACACCAAGAAGAAGATATTCACCGTTTTATATTTACTTGACTTGGCTGAATTAATTGGTTAGAAATTTATCGGCAAATAAAATATGTATGCTGATTATCAACTGTTATACATGAAAAATTTGAATCCGCAATTTAGAGGGTGATCATTAATTATTTTGATCCGCAGGGTATATCGCCGAACTTGAATGAAGAAAAAAAAAAAGAACAAAGAAACAAAAAGTCCTACAACACGCGTGTCCGGCGGTATGGCAAACAGGCAAGGCAGGCAGCCAAGCAGCGCGGAATGCGTGGTCGCGGAGCGAACGCGAGGTCACCATTGACGCAAATCTATCCGAGTGTCACGTGAACGCGACCGCTGGAACACAATATATACACGCGATGGACGACCGACCGCACACCACCATTCCATTAAATCCATGCCTCCTGCGTGTGTATATATTTATATGACTAGCGATGGGACCAAACTGGCATTGTTCATCGAGAGATGAGCCTTGAGGAGACGAAGTTATATCGAGTCGAAAGAGACGTTTTCGCGAAAAATACGAAGAGAAAAGAGCGAGGAGCGTATGAGATTAGCGAGGTATACCGATGGGCTCGCTCGAGCAATCCGCTTCTCGTCCGATACCGCTTTTCCGGAGTGCGCGAAGGATCGATTGATTTGGAGCTGGATGTCGGCGGTTCCTCGCCTCGCGTCGTTCCCATCGCTATTCGACGAGGACGTTGAGCAGAAAGAAGGGACGGAGGGAAAAAGCGGCGAATACTGCTCTCCGCGGCCCACCCATGATATAATGGGCAATTAATGGCCGGTGGACTGGCCTGATCCTCGCTGAATGCCAATCGGCCACGGGAAGCGCCACGCTGGACGAAGCCTGTTGTCTACCCTTCGCGGACCTCTGCCCGACCGTATTCCATATGGCGATGCGAATCGCCTGGAGAAGTCTTCTGGTCTATTATTAGAACGCCAACACTCGGCTCGTAGAGCGCCGAGCCTTTTTAACACGGTCGATTTGATTTTTAACACCGCCTTCCCGGTCTGCAATGTTTATTTTTCCATTTGCGAAAGTCCTCACGCTTTCCTTACAAAATAAATATTTCAGTTCAAAATTCGACACGTAACAAGCTCTAGCATAATAAATACAAACGTCAGTTACGGACCTTGCGCTAGTTTCACTGGTACGAGATAGAACACTAGCGTACACTCATGCGAGAGAGAGAAAGAGAGAGAGAGAGGGAGGGAGGGGTATCCTCTACTTCTTATCATTTTTTAATTAGGTCAATGTCGCTGCGCGACGATCCATTACTTTCTTTAAAACAGCCTCGTAATGCCGTTGTACACTTGTTGACCTAAAAGTCAACCGATCGGTAAATAAGGATAGTTTCGTCTCAAAGATACTATTTCGATATTCTACGAATGTGCAATGACGTTTTTAATACATTTTTATAGCTACTGAAATTTTTATAAAATCTACACTTGCACTCTTCGCATTTAAACAGGACTCTTTTTAACTCATTTGCAGTTTATTCGTACGTATGCTTACACCGAAAAGTTGTCGGTGTTTTCGTCTACGTCTACGCTCATTGTCACGGAATTCAATAGCTTCCGAAGAATGTTCAAGGTAAAAAAGAAAAAAAAAAACGGCGCAACAATACCTTCTGCGTTAATGGCAGATGGAACAATGGTGTTGCAATGTCGTCAAGTTATGCAACGATTCAACGCTATCGTGTACATATTTATTGTACGGCGTGTTGATGCGCTACGGCATTCAAGCCCGTTTGAAAGCGAACGCCGCGAAACAATTGCAATTGAAAAGCGTGACAAAACAAAGGTTTTCTAGACGAATTTCTAGATGGAATTCAATGTTGCGCGAAATGCTCGAATCAGAGGAGAATGCGTGGAGTATCGTTTCGTTTTTGCTTTCCCGGAGATACGAAATCGCGATCTTAATTGCGCTCAATGGGTGATCACGATCAACAAGTCTCTTCAGGATGTCTCCGCGCAAATATCGTACCACGAGTGTTACTTGCGCGCGCTTCGTTCATCGCAGAAATTAAGCCGCATTATCTTCAATCGTCGAGCGCCTGCAAATGAAATCCGAGGAGCGCGCGTGGCGAGGGAGGTCTATTATCTTATTTATTCCTGCATACGTATGATTGCAATATGAAAATATTCAACAGTGGTCTTTGTAACGTACGTACTTGCAATCAAAAGTAACATCAAGCTCAATTCGCGGAGTTTAATATTCTATTGTGGTAAATTATATGTTTGAACACATCACACAGATAAAATTGTAAAAAAGAACAGATGTGTGTAGAAAAATGATGTATATTATGTAATTAAAAATTTATATATGCCTTGCGGGTATTTATTACATTGATTATTTGTATGATTACATGTATTATTAATTGACGGAAAAAAGAATCTACTTATCAATTCTATCAGAAAATTAATACAAAAATATCACATATCTTATACACTCAAAAAAATATTTCGCTGATGTAGTTAGATTTCTAGATATCGCAACAAGAATGTATCGCTATTTTTCGTATCTGTGAAAACATTGTTTGTCACATATAGAATTTATAGCAGTAATGTTCTAGCAATAGCTTCTGAAAAATTTAGGTACCATTGCTAAATGTTATTCATTGCATGATCTAACACGTGATTGATCTTATATAGATAGGCGCTTTAGAGAAACTTTCTTTTTAAAGTTCACAAACAATACAGATATATATTCTGTTTCTGTCATCTAAACTAATTAAGTAATTACATATGCAATATCACAACAGTTGCTAAACATTTATCTGTTTTAGTTAATTTTTTACACCTAGAAAATTTTAGCTATTATTGCAAAATCATTTTTTTGAGTGTAGATCAGAATATAAATGACTATTTTCAACTTCGATTAACTTAAATCTAGTCAGCAGAATTAAGTAGCTAACATAAAGAATAACATAACGAAATATTGTTATAAAAAAGAAAAATTTAATTTTTTTCTCCTTTGATGACGTTTTACTTGTGTTGATAATTTTGTCGATAAATTTTAACTATCGTTTAAAGTTAATTGAAATAGTCAGAATAAATAAATAAAATATCTTATAAAAATGTTTATCACACAAAATTACAATAGAAATTGACTGATGTAAAAGAAGAATCTTTAATAATAAAATTATTAGAAAATTATTTTCTGAGATATGTCGACTATTTTTGAATATTTACATTTTGTTACTATTATTTTGTAATCTTACAATCTAAAAAATATGAAACTTCTAAGATATATTTATGATTAACTCTAGTATATTCATGATTTACTTAAAATACTCTCTTCACTCAAAAAAATGATCTTGCAATAATAGCTAAAATTTTCTAGGTGTACAAAATTAACTAAAACAGATAAATGATTAGCAACTGTTGTGATATTGCATATGTAATTACTTAATCAGTTTAGATGACAGAAACAGAATATATATCTGTATTGTTTGTGAACTTTAAAAAGAAAGTTTCTCTAAAGCGCCTATCTATATAAGATCAATCACGTGTTAGATCATGCAATGAATAACATTTAGCAATGGTACCTAAATTTTTCAGAAGCTATTGCTAGAACATTACTGCTATAAATTCTATATGTGACAAACAATGTTTTCACAGATACGAAAAATAGCGATACATTCTTGTTGCGATATCTAGAAATCTAACTACATCAGCGAAATATTTTTTTGAGTGTTCTCGTCGTATAAATCGCAATAATCAGAAAATCTAAATTCATATAATCGATAAATTGCCTCATCGATTATTCTCGATTTTCGAGAAACTTGATCGATAAAATCAAAGATCGAAATAAACTATCGAACACTCGAAACGTTCGTATCGAGTAATTCAATGTTAAAAATAATCGAATAGCGAGAGCTTGAAAATCTTGAAAGAAATCTGTACAAAATAATTGAAAAAGAATAATATAACATTATTTAAAGCAATAAATTTAATAACCGTTTAAACGTATTCCATAAAAAAAAATCAAATGTGTTGGAATAATTAATAATTATTTTAATTATTTAGCTACCAGACATAACCTATTGATATAGTGTTGAAACCGCGCATCATGTCCGATGTAAGTCACGAGGAAAGAAGCGAATTTTATTTTTCTTCCACGTTTAGAATAGAATAGAATAAAATATCTAACCTTTGCAGAGAATAAAAGGAAAGTCTGGAAAGCGCGACCAAACTAAACGAATCCTACAATTTCCGAACGTTCGAGAAACCATCCGCGAGGTTTGGTGTTTTCGATATATCGCAAGACGGTCCGCGCGAGCAGCTTCCTGCTCGCCCAACACGAGGGATGATGTCGTACGGCGCTATTTCACAGTCGTAAGATTGCAGGCTGCGTGAAAAATACGTAAACGGAAAGCGCAAAAAACGAGGAATTGTGCTTTATCGGCATTCTAATCTTCAGTCGTACCATCGGTTATTAATTGACCGCAACTATTAATTTTCGATATCATGGCGATGAACGTGCCGTACGAAGCGATCGGCAAGGGTTTCGTCCAGCAATATTATGCACTTTTCGACGACCCGGCACAGAGGCCGAACCTCATAAACATGTATAATGTAAGTATGACCGAGCTTTTCCATTTTCCATCGCCTATCGATTTATCATAGGACTTTTATCACACTTTCTCACCAAATATTTCTGCAACTGACATAACCTTTCGCAGACGGAGACATCCTTCATGACGTTCGAGGGTATGCAGCTACAGGGCGCTATCAAAATTATGGAAAAATTAACTGTAAGTAAAATTCACCTCTATCGAGTCAAGTTTCTAATCCACAACTGTATTGTTATCTCTTTAGGTTGAATTACTTGTAGAGGGGATTGAATCTTTTTAGGCGTAAGAGTGTCCTTTTAGCCAATCTATTTGTAAATAAAGATTGTGGCATTTTCAGAAGAACATAACTAACGTAACATAAAGCTTGGAATTTTCAAAATCAAAATAGAAGAATTAAAATCCATATAAAAGGACGGAAAATACAAGACGATGTACAGAGGCAAACTTTTAAAATACATATAATATTTAAATTCAAATACTTTTTGGATTTTAGATTTATACTATCTACAATCGTTTAAGCGTGTTTTTCCTAATTCTCCTACTTTGATTTTGGAGGTTTCTAATCTTTTCGCTTTGTCATTACTAATTTATATGAAATAGAAAATTTGATACAGTAATGGCAACATATATAATCGTTATTATATTAACTTTCTCTTCTGTTTTTTAGAGCTTATCCTTTCAAAAAATAAATCGGATGATAACAGCGATTGATTCGCAACCCATGTTTGATGGCGGAGTTCTTATTAATGTATTAGGAAGGTTGCAGGTAAGAATAAACCGCTAGTAATGGCAAATTACATTCTTTGTTTGCTCTTCATTAAGATTTGTCTCTGATATGCAGAATAAACAAAGCATATGCAATTCAGTTATTGCAAAAAAGTGATATTATAATCTTGTATAATTTAAAGCATATAATATATTATACTGTTTTATCTTAATTGCTTCAGTAATTTAATTCTCATACGTTTTTAGTTTTAACGTTTCTGCAAACTTGATTTGCACACATATATTTGTATGAAAAAACAAGTTTGATGTAGTAGATATGGTATACTTGTAGAAAAGTATAGAATTTTCATTCATGGAATGCGACTTTTGATCTAATCTGCAAATATATCTGAAAATATAAGCAAAGGAAATGTTAAATGTAGAATAGAATCGTAAATAGAAACAATGCGGGCAGAAAGTAAGCTTTGTAGCGGCGCTGCGCAAGTGATACTCGTCGATATCTCAAATTATTGAAGAGTATTCAGTGATTATTGTTGATCGGGCAGACTGATGAAGATCAGCCTCACGCGTACATCCAGACATTTGTCCTGAAGCCGATCGGTACCAGCTTTTACGTGCAGCACGACATCTTCAGACTTGCATTACACGACACGGTGTAGGCGTCAGGTACCTCAAAATCCTCCTCCGTTGCTCTGCGTACCGCGTTCACAGGCAAGCCTCGTCCGATATTTCAAATCGCAAGCATCCGATAAGCGCTTTTCTGCATTACGCACACCATCAGTTGGCTTCTGTTACGCGAATGTTGAGTTGACATCCCACTCACCAATTTTTATCATAACTCACGGGATCACATGTGATTTTGCGTATCGCTTTCATCTCGTTCTAGCATATCGTTTCTGAAACAATAAAACTGTGATCCTCACAGACTGTGGTGGAACATTTGCATTATGATTATTAACTGTCGTAATCCGAAGCAATTGTACATATTAACGTTTATTCATTTTTAATTTGCATACATTTCTCTGTTCCATGATTTTAGTCTCTATTAACACGTATTTTATTCAAGAAAAATATGTTACAAGAGTGTTATTTTTAATAATATTCGAAATGTACGTGATTTCAAATAACAAGGAAACAATTTCGTTAATCTTATTTCTCACGTATTTTATGTATATGCTTTAAAAAGTACAGACCTGCATGGAATATGTATTTAATTCTGAGGTCTCGAACACGCGAGCCACCGGATCGAAAGTCCCTGCTGTGTGGTTCGCGAAAGTATACGAGTCTGAGACCGTTGTCTTAATTTGACGCATTGCAAATAGATAGATTAATGCAGTACATTTTTGACCAGTCCAGTCGCATTTATCATGTGTTATTGCAGAAAGAAGTTTTCGAACGGCGTCAACGTAACACAACACATGGCATAACATGGGCATAAAATACAGCTCACGTTTAATTGCAGGCAGACGAAGACCCACCACACGCCTTCTCACAATGTTTCGTGCTGAAGCCGATGGGAAATTCATACTATTGTCAGCACGACATCTTTCGCCTTGGCATTCACGATACTGCGTGAATGGAGAAGATTGGGCTGGTTTCCGCAACGAGTGTGTGTGTGACCAAGCAGGTTGCCGAACGACGGACACCCAACGGGGATCGCAAAGTGAGCCACCTAATCTCATCGATAATCCTCTCATCACAACCACATACCCTATTTCCATTCTTTCTAGATAATATCACAAGTTTTATATGAAGAATATCTTTTCGCTTATAATCTTGGCCACGCTAAAAAAAAAAAACAAAAACAAAAGAAGTTGAGAAACATCCGTTAAGACACAGTTTAAGCAATTACGTCGCTTTCCTCCGTACACACACACACGTACATACATAAATACATACATATATCATACATACACGTACACATACACATATATGTGCAATATATATATATATTATATATATTGTGATATGTGTGTGTGTATGTGTATACATGTTAGTCTAAAAAAAAAGCAGATCTACATTTATTATACGTACTAGCACAACACACACACACATAGATGTCTCATTAATCGAGGGAGTTTGGTTTTTGTGACGACAGGTAATAGATTTGCATTACTACGCTTCGAAATGAATTGTAACATATTTTACATTTGATGCTGTGTATTTTTGTAATACGAGAATGTTGGCCATTAAATACAAGAATATGGAATTAATCGGACAAGTTGATTATCTATTCCACAGACGAAAAACGTAGAACCTTGACATTTTCGTCAATTGCGAACAAAAAAAATATAAAATTTCTATTGTGATGCGGACGAAATTGTCATTAAGAACAGTGATATGTAGCAGGATATTAGGTAGCAATTGTATCGAATGAATCTTGAGATGAGTTTAGCATAATATATTCTTAATGTGATATTTTATCATACAAAGCTATAAGTAGCGCGATATATTTATTATAAGTACAAAAATACTCATCCCCCTGCTCTCTTACGTGATTATGCCAATAACGGTTGTAATATTCTACAAATATCCTAGTAACATAGACATTTCTACAAGTTCCCACGTTTCGCTTGCTCTAATTCGATAGCTTCGAACAATGCTTGGAAGTTTCCGGCGCCAAAACCCTACGAGAGAAATTGATGAATAGTAAATTTAATTTTTTGATTACTTAAATATTAACCAATTTAGATATTAATAGATTTTACAAATTTATGTAAAATAAGTAAGGTACAAATGTTTGACACTTACATTATGATTGCGTCTCTGTATGACTTCTATGAACAAAGTCGGCCGGTCTTGCATATTTTTCGTGAATATTTGTAGAAGATAGCCGTTCTCGTCGTAGTCTATCAATATCTTTAATTTCTGCAAAGCGCAATAACGCAATCCAAGTAGTAGTAAACGATTTTATGTATCAGAGTTTTAGTTCGCTGTGTCAATAAAAGTACCTGCAGTGTATCCAAGTCTTCCACGATTTTCGTGCCACTGGCCTTCAGACGGTTTGTGAGCATATCGTAATAACTGTCGGGCACATTGAGAAACTCCATTCCTCTGGCGCGCAGATTTGTAATCTGCAAAAAAGACAAAAGGAACTTATTGTGAGCAACATCTTTTACAAAATATTCTAATTTAGCGAATTAAAAATTGGCAAAATTTAATTATCTGCCAATTATCAATTGAATGATTTTTCTGATTGCATAATAATATAAAAAAATTTATTGTTGAATTTAGAGCGCTTAAAACACTCACCGCTGTGATAATATCACTGGTATTAAGAGCGATGTGTTGCACGCCGGCACCACCATAGTACTCCACGTATTCCTGGATCTGAGATCGTTTCTTTCCTGGCGCGGGCTCGTTGATCGGCATCTTCACTGTCTCCTCCCAATTTGTCATTACGATGGACCGCAGCGCGGAGTACTCCGTGTGCAGTTGCGTGTCGTCCACCGACCAGAATCTGTGAAACTGCAAGCACTCCTCGTACCTGAGGGAAAAACAAATTCGTCGCATTTAACTTGAGTTATACCATATTTTTAATCGCAGAGTATTTTACTTTTCAAAAGGGTTCGCCTTACGATTTTCGCGAAGCATTCGCTGAACAAAATTTGACGACCAATTTATTATACATTTTATTTAAATGTGTATTCTACTTTACAATATTGATGTAATTAATGTGGATTAATAATGTAATTCGTTAAGCTGTGTAGCAAACGCTGCTAATGACTGCTACTAAGATTAAGAGAAAAGGCACGCCGAATTATAATTTCTCGCCGATATAAATGTGTTCAACGTTCACAAGTAGATCAATTTGCATACCATTTCGCAACGGGTTCCATCAGTTTGTCGGGCTGATTACCCACCACATGGTCCACGAAATTCAAATGTGTCTGCGGCCTACGATTGTCGAAACATATTAATATAGTTTAATGATTTTGCGTTTTATAAATATCTTACATTAGGTTTTTTACGCTCGGTGTAGAGATTAACCTTAGGATATATCTTGGATATTTTGGAATATAAAATAAAGGATATATCCTGGAAATATTACAAAGTATTGTTATTAAAATATACGATGTAGCCTTCTTTTTAGGGTGGAGGGCGAATCCTAACTTCACTTCATTCCATGCGGGGATTGCGTACGTACAATTGTTTGAGAAGAACGTCCTCCGGCGCTTTCACGAAGCCAGGCAGGAAGAAGCCTCCGTACTTCGTTCTGTCAACGAGCGTGTGGAGCGTGTCACCGTACTTGATAAAAGGAGCATTAAATTACTCGTCGCGTCCGACATGGTTTCGTAGATCGAAAGGAAAGTGTTGTATAGATCTTTAACGTTTGTTTCTTCCACTTACGGTTTTCACGGTAGCCATTCTTACGGTGCCGTGCTTGTCGCTCTCCTCCCATATGTCGCGCACTATTTCAGCGCCTCTCTTCTTAGCAACCTGCGCATAAATTGTACAATATGTTGATCGAGACACTTTGGTAAAAAGATTGTGCGAAGTCTCCATTTGTATTCGCATCATTTTCCGAGAATTCTTCTTTACCTTCACGATAGTGTCGATGTCTTCGACACTGAACGCCACGTCCCGCACGCCGTCCCCGTGTCGGGAGAGATGCTTCGACATCGCTTCGTTGTCAGGCTCGTACGGAGACTCAAAGACGAATATGATCTGCGATTGTTGCCGAAGACTTTAATAGCGTTCGAAGATCGCGAATAAGCCGCGAGTCAACGAGATAAGTGAAGTTATTGAAAATTAACGGTACAATCGATCTTTCTGCTTTGCCGCTCGGATTTGAAACTACTCACTTTGTTCTGCACGACGGCGTGCGCGGCTGTTCGTCTCGAACCAGTCTCCAAACCGTGATATCCCAAAGGCTTGAAGCCCATCCTGCATCGATAGAAACTGGCAGCCTGCAACGCAATTGTGTTTTACTTTTGCATAAAAATGATACACTCCATTTTTCCTCTTTATATTTTAGATAGATTTGAAATATGTATTTATACAGCACTTCTCATGTATCTGAAGGAACATCTTGTACGTATGTGATAATTTACCTGCTTCGCATTTCCCACCCAGAATCTTATGTGGTCGAAACTGAGGAATTTCCCTCCGACGGGCTGAAAAATCGCATCTGAACATTAGAACTTTTCACACTTTGTCTCCCAACACTCTTATAAAAGACGATGCTTACCCGAGGTCCTTTGTCAATATAGCTGGTCTGGAAACAAACATAATTAATTTATTTTTCAAAAAATATATGTATTGAATCATTAATTAAATAACATAATTGTTATTTAACATGTAATTATCTATTTGTAACTCAAAGACGAATCTCTTTAATTTTTCTCTACGAATATTAGATAATTTTAGAATAACTTTTGTGTCTAACGGTAGCTATTCACGCTCTTACCATAATGTCTTCTTGAAAACCACGCAAGCGATAGGAAGAATCTTCTGGTGTGAATTCAGTTCGTTTATTATGGACCGTCGATTGAATTCCGCTTTAAATATCGAGCCCATCGACGAGCGATCGGTCCGCGCCATCACGCCATTGGTCCACGACGGAGGCTTGTTTGTGCCGCGTTTGTTCATAAATCAGATCGAGATAGCAGGTTTTTTAATTAAATCTACCGTGACACTTACGACATACGCAAATGAGGTGGGCTCGCCTTCTTAATGGCACAGCTGAACATATTTTTCCGATTAGTTTTCTAGAACGTGTAAATAGGATCTTCGATTGCGTAGTAGCGTTGCGTTTTTAACATAAATAAAGAAAATTTCAGTCTTTTTACGCGTTTATTTTCCAAACTAAACGTCTGATAATTAAATACGACGCGTATGAAAGTGAAGTAATTTTTTTACAAAATTTTGTTTCCGTAAAATATTAATTTTTCAATATTGTTAAACTTGAACTTGAGAAAATGTAGAGGAAATTAGAAAGTTCGTATTAACTTCAGTCTACGATTTCAAAATTACGAGTGTAGAAACAGTTTGAAAAAGTACTTTTATGCTTTTTGAGCGATCTAATGTACGGAAAATTTATTTTTCGCGATCACTCGATATCATTCGCTTCGTGGAATTTGCAAAAAAAAACCTTGGACTTCATATTTATTATTAAATCGCCTTCGGTATATTAATTTTTCGCGTAAACATCTCTCTTTCCACAAACATATTTACACCGTCAGGAATCAGAATGCAGTTTTTCCGTGTACACACCCTCTAATAAATTTATGCATTTATGCTATTATAATATCGGAACCGAGCATTTCTTACTGTTTGCACGCATTAAATGTTCTAATGAAGGCATTACGTTAAAGCGCTTTAATGAAATGCCGTAATTGACGTCATTTGTGATTCTATAAATTATTATTCAAGTTACATACGTTATGTTGTACATTATATTACATATAAAGACACATTATATTACATATTTCTTTTTATTATATTTAAATTATTTGATTTATAAACGTAATATGCATAGAAATTTCAATATTAACTTCAACTATTGTATAAAAACAGATTGGAGAGTGCGTTGAAAAATAAATTTAAGACGTGTGCTGTTTTTACTACACTTTTCGAAAAAGAAAGACGAGAAGAATAAAGAATGCACGCGATGACGTAACGCGATTCAACTTTGCTCTCCAAAAATCCCGTCCATACATATAATACGTTCACACAATATTGAAGTTAATATACATAACATGAGTGTAAACATTTGGACATAGAGCGTTCGCACACCATCGTTGCTAAAAACTTGTCTCGCGGACGACCGTCGGCATTTCTATTTAAATATTGCGAGACAAGAACGAATTTAACATTATGCATACCTTGAGACCGCAAAAATAGTGCATAAAATATTTTTACGTTAAAATTGACAAGATCGGACAGACGATTCTGGCATCTACAATACTTTTCTTGCCTACAAAAGCAATTCAGACGACTAGAAATACTGGACGCAGCGCATTCGCGAAATACTGATCTTCGTTTTCCTCCTCGCGGATATACTTTTCATTATTTTCGCTCTAATAAAACTGAGCGTCTAATTCGCATTAACACGATTAAGATGCAAATAAGTTATTAATAACTCATTATGCATACATGTATTTACAATGAACTAAATATCCGAGAATTGACGGATGATGACGATACAGAGTTGTTTCTTGAGTTTGGAATCAATCTTAATAAAATAGTCATAATTTTCAGCGATCTTCCAAATTTTAATATGATATCTCTTCGCAACTCTCCGTAACAACTTTCCCCGTTTCAATATTCTGTATGCATAATTTATAAATAATAGAAAATTATTTTATACAATCATGAAAGATATAATACGAATTGTAATGAATTAAATCCAAAATAAAACTGATTTCAAATTGTACTGACTTTGCCTCTGAAGTTTAATCCATTTGATTTTCATGATTTATACCTCAGAAGCCATTGAAATTCTTCATTACACATTGGTTGATAGAAATATAAAAAAAAATACTTCCAAGTTTTCAAAACGCTATGTCTTCCATCAATTCTAAGACATCTTATATATAATATATATATACAAATGTTCATTCTGCACAATGAATGATGAAATCGTAAAATACAAACTGGATGATCGGCAATTCGCTATTGTAAAAAAGTCCGTGATCAGTAGTTGGAATACCTAATATAAATACGCTGCAGTGATGTGAAAGCTCTTCGTAGCCAATTCTCCCGGCATTTATGCTTTGGTACGTTGAAAAATTACATATTACAAAAATACACGTAGAAAAATGTTTCCCATCGTTGAAACGATCTCGTTTCGATCGAAAGCAATGGAAAGTTCTCCTTTCTCGCGTAATGCAAGGATATGAAGGTTTTAAAAATTCATCGTCCCCGCGCACAATTTTCGGGGACAAACGAGTGAGATTGTTCAAACGTACGTGCTATCTTCCACTTTGCCCTACAAAATGAAGCAATGACGGCAAGCCTGAATTTACAGCAACACAATTCCGTGGTCTCTTTCCAATCGACGCTTCGCCTTGAGGGCCACGATGCCCATGAGATCCGTCGGCGTCGGCAGTGCCGCGAAAGCACCCGGTGCTACTGCTTGTTGATAAAACACTTCCACTCCACCGCACTGATTCCCGTAAACCACCGTATCTTCCGTTCTGTTAAGAAAAAACAAAACAAATCTTGTAATACTTCTACAATTACGCAACAGCTTTTTGCGATAAATATTGCTTGCTGCAAATTTTACGACTTGTAAATTTGACAAGCGTCTCTATTCTACGATATTAAGAGCGTTGCAAAAAAATTCATTCACTTTAATCGTCTAAGAAATTTTCATATACAAGAACGTTTCACGAAGCTGATCTACGAATTAGAGAGTGAAGAAAAATTCAAGTAATGTAAGACAAATGATGGAATCTGATTGGAAATTACCTGACGATGATGTCCGTCAAACTGTTGGCTCGCGTAAACCTGTCGTGGAGGCAGGACACAATGTCCAACTCGGTGACGCCCCAAAGTCCGAAACGTTGCACCGTGTCCCACTGCGGATCTACGCTCAAAATACTGTACAACTCCTTGTTTTCGGTCGACGGCAAGGGTTCCAGACATTGCTGCAGTCGCGATTCAAGCTTATCTAACGTGCTTACGCAAGTGCGCCACTATATCAAATAAATGATCTATATTACTATTCTAATAAAACTATTTTACACTACTTACAACTACGCTCTAATGCAACTTTACAATACCGACACAGGAGGGAAGATTTGAAGTATTCGTTTCATTATTTAAAAATCTTTCATCGATTTTTGTTGGAAAATTAATTTTCTTATTTATTAAAACATAATTCTTCTTAATTTACTTGCGTGCAAAATAACTGTCGCTATTCGGTTCAACAAATTTCAAGAAGTACATGTAACTTTTTTTGCGCACTTACCAAAGCGTGTATCAAGTCCGGATTATTCGCGGTGCCGTTTTCCATCAGCAATACCAATACCATATTCTGATAACCGCAGAGAAACAGCTCGGTCTTCTCGAGGCAGGCGGCAGAATCGTCCTTGTTGATCCAGTCCTCGTCCAGCTCGTCCTCGCCGTCGCTCGTCTCCTTCTCGACCGACTCCAGCTTCTGCCTGATAAGCTGATTCGTCGTCGTCGTCGTCGTCGTCGTCGTTGTCGTGATACCGCCGGAGAATCCCGAGAGATCGCGGAACTCACTCGGCGTGGTTTCGCGGCTGCAGAACCCGCTGGTCCGCTCGTCGGCCAGCAGACTCAGTTTCGACATCAGCGGCGTCAACTGCAGACCGTCCAGCTTCCGCCTCTGCGGGAAGTCGTACGAGCTCCCGCCGCACTCCGACGTCGATTTCCGCCAATCGTCGCTGTTCTGCACCTCGGTGACGACGTTGAGCGGCTTCAACGGCAGACTCATCGATCTCTTGTACGTCTCCTGCTTGCTCTTTTCGTACGAGTGATCGGGCTTGGCGCGTTCTAAACGTTCATATTTTAAACAAACACCGCGCGCAATTAAAACACGTTCGAGCGTTAGATATCGTTTTCAATACTGCTACGCTTCTCTACAACGTACCGTCCTTCGCGACCGCGCTGCTGTTTGCGGGAAATTTTATGCTCGTCAACTCGCTGGACAAATTCCTCAATTGAAAACTGCCGTCGTCGCCGCGATGCCCGCGGACGCTGCCGTCGTTGCCGTCGTCGCACAGCTCCTCGCAGTGCGTGGCGACGTACTGCTCGTACAACGACTGCGAGACCGGTAGACCGTCGGATCGGAAGACAGGATAGCAGGGGTCGGTTATGGTGCGCGAGTGCCGCTTGCCTCTTCCGAGCGTCCGCCGAGATGAGTTCGAGTCGAGATTATCCGGAGAAGCCTCGCTGAATTTGCATCTGTTGAAAGCAATAGGATTTATTAAATTGATTGCACAAATTATAGTAATATTCAACTATCACACAGTTGTGCAAAAGCTTCGATAAAAAAAAAAACTGTAAGAAATGATGCATTCTTTTTTTTCCTTTGTTAAACTGTGTTATTCGACACGATTGTTTTGTGTTAAGCGAAACTATTGATTACTCAATAATCATGAATTTGATTACATTTGATCCAGCTCCGGTTGGTATGTTCTAGGAATACCGTTTAGGTGCTGCTTGACTGATGATGTCAAATCTGGCAGGCTCACACTCTTCCTGTCGGGATCTTTCCTCTTCATCAGCTTCTCCTTCGACGTGGTATTTCTCAACTTGTTCAGCCGTTTGCACCTGTTTTAGAATCAAAATGAGGTTACTTCGGCATCGAGAAATTGTTACAAAATAGATTTTTCTATTCCACATAGAAGTATCAGAATTATTCCTCATATTTCACCTGAGTGCTTCTTTCACGACGTCCGGGATGTCGTCGTCGTTGTCTTTCGACGTGCTTCGATGTTCGTCGTTCTCACCGCCGCTCTCGGACGAACAGATGAGCATGGCATTGCCAAGCAGTATCCGATCCACATCCTTCAACGGCGTCGCGCAGACGCTGGGCGTGAGCGGATTGACGATGGCGGTGCTCTTGGCACGCTCCGATTTCATCTCTTGCTTGCGCCTAATCGGCGACTCGTGGCTGCCCACGAGCGGCACCGACGGCACATACTGCGGCGCCGGTGGGTAATTCGTGGAATCCAACTCGCCTTCCTCGGGAACAGTGAAGATACGCGACGTATCCCGCTTCATGCCGGACATGATGAGCGGCTCTTTGACGCCGCTCTTAGACATGTTCTAAGAAAATCCATCCAGATTTGCGAGATCAGTTTGTATTACTTTAACGGAAGATGATGCGTTCGCACAAGGCGCACTTACTTTCCTCTGCAATATCTTTCTCGTCACAGTATCTATACACGAATTGTAATATCGCTCGTTATTCGTCTCTTGCATCAGCTTCGTGAACTGCTTTCGCTCTATGTACACTTGTAACAATTGAACACCGATCGGCAAGTGAAATTCCGTGGATATCCTTTCCGCGGGAGCCTTCAACAAATTTAGTGAACTATGAATTTCTCGCGAAGAAAAATCAATATATCCGAAAATGTCATCTAATTACATTTATATTCAAACATCAGTAGTGGAATATACCTTTATCCTGTAAGGATCCGTTATGACAATTTGTTTCGTTAAATCTGCGTCCAGCTGCGTTGAGACAACCCTGAAAAGAAAATAAGAATACGATAAATCAAGAAGAAAGCTAATAAAGCAGAATAATTTTTAAAACAATGAATGTTAGAAAGCGATATCTAAGCAGAAATTTGATTTCATCGAGTGTCCTGTCATTGCAGAACTCGTCGTACTTGTTATTGTAGAACAATGCTCCGCCCAGTACACCATTTATCTCTTGACAATGCTGTAGCACTTGCATCGATTCCAGAAATATGTTACTGGCACTCTACGAAAGACACGTTTTCATTAGCTAATAAAAAGAAATGTATAAAAACTATATATGTTTATATTTACTTTATATTTACGTTCAATCTAACCTTTGGAAGTTTAATAATAGGAATGTTGGAAAATAGATTGGCACTGTGTTGAAGAATTGGCAGATAAGTCTCAAACATCTGATACAATTTTTCAGTGAATCTATTGCGATCGTTATTGAGGGATTCCAGTATCTTGGCGAGGTCGCAGTGAAAGAATTTCAGCAAGGATTCCAGAGTGTCGGCGCGTCTCTCGAGTATCCAGTCCTGTATATTTCTATCAGTCCCCACAGCCTAGTAAAACAAATCAATGCTGATAATTTATGATGGTCAATCATAAAGGTCAATCATAAATCTCATAAACAACCATTGACTCGTAAAGTACAAAACTTTTGATGGAAATGGATGGAGTACTTTTTTGATGGAAATACTGCAACAATTTAATAACTGTGTCACAAGATAACTTTTATCAGCTAAGTGACACAAACAAGCAAGAAACACAGTAATACGTGTGAAGAATGACATTTATGTATCATGAAGAAAAGAGAAACTGAAAAGTTAAGTGCAAGCACAAAGTTAAAATATTAAAATTGATATTCTTGTTTCAGATCATTAATTAATGTAACACCCATAAATAAAATAATTAGTATAAATTAGAAATGTTAGCCTATCCGTTTGTGTATAAATTTTGTTTTTAGTTTGCTTTAAATTGTCTCCTTCTAAAACTTTAGATTTAACTCCAAAATTGTATCTTTTCAGTTATGTTGCTTTGCACTTGTATCTTTAATAGTAATAAAATATCTCACATCAACTCACCAACACATATTGCCCAAACTTCTTCAACATAAACTTTCCACCTTGCAACGTGATGGAGCGTGGCGCTGAAAACGACGTTGTTAGAAAGTGGTACACACCCATCAATTGCCCCGCCAAAGCCAGTCTTTGTGTGAGTGATACCCAAGCCGGATGAAAGTACATAACTGCTTCTGCAGGATCATCTTCCTCTTTACAACACTTTGCAGTGTCGTAAACAAATACTATCATCATTTCTCTGCAAACAAAGATTGTGTTCCAAACTTTAGAATAAACTTATTGGAGTTTTAATGATAGACAGCATTAGAAAATAAAAAATGGTGCAATTATAATATATAAACATTTGCATACATTGACATATAAAAAAAAATATTATAAATATATTTAGTGTATTAAAATACAACAGCAAATTCTTGGAAATAGTCAAATTATTATGTAACACAATAAGGAATTATTTGCTTTTCATTCTTAAGCTTAAACCTTTTTTTGCACAGCTTACCCAGAATTAAATTATTTAAATACTCTGACAGTGACTGAAGGTATATCTTAAAATCTTTCATTGTAAAAAATATGCATAGAGCAACATAGAGGATGTGTTCTACAAAATGTGTTTCAATTATGGTACATGACTAAGTGAATTATTCATAAGCAAATAATTGATGATCAAGTGGTGCCAATAATCGATAAGACACCAGGACAGATAAGATTAAGTTTATAAATGGTGTATGCTGTGAAATACAAACGTTCAGTTTGTCAGTGCGCCCAGAACAAACTCAAATAGCTTTGTACGCTAGAGAAGCATGCTCGAAACAAACGATTGCATCCAAATTGTTTGCTGCCATTCATTTCAAGATCAAGGGACGGGGAGAATTGTTTTGCGCAGTTGCATGCAATTATGGGGTCAGAGAAATAATAAACACTGCATTATCGTGAGGAAGACCACTGCACTCTACTGTCAGTGTGTGTATTCTAATTAGATAAGGCGGCGTTTACGCGATCATACTTCGCCATGGTGACTATCTGTGTCGATGCAGTGTCGCGAGTACTGTCTGTCACCCGGTTTCACGCTGTCAAGGATCGCCCGTGTTTCTCGGGGCCCGCTGGATGCCACCCTCTGTCAACAAGAAGTCTCTCGTTTCATTAATACGACTCTTGTTACTTCGTCGCCGGATAAAAATGCCTTATATAAGTGCATCTTCGTCGCGTTGTCGACCGGCGTGATACACTATGTACCATTCTTTCGACTCGCCGTTAATTATCGTACCGTGCGGAACCGCTCCTTCTATTCCGCCATAACAATATTGATCCTCGGGCAACGGTATATATAAATGAACATATACAATATTGCCGGTGTACGCAGTGACAAGAGATTTGTTCTTTTTAACTGCACTGGTGCCGTGCTAGTGCAGACAGTGTGCACCGAAGAACTCAAATCCAATTTTCAATCGAAATGAACGGGTCAATTTTCATGTGGGTTTGCATATGCGTTATACGAATTGTCCAAATATTTCTACCTTCAGCTTTCGGTTGCACGCATGCACATTAGAATAATCGAGTAGTGATTTTTATGGCTGTGTTCCGAAATTCACTACTAGTACTGAAAATCTATAGTTTACGTCACGTATATTGTAGATTTTCAGTACTGGCAGTGAATTTCGGAACACAACCTATTTTACAAAGCGAGAACCTGATTTCCGCTTTCGTTTTATTTCATCTACATTCATCGGGATCGGATGGACGCGTGTTTCCTTGTGTGAAAAAATCGTAAAAAGGTGGCAAAATGGTAAGAAACTTTTAATTTTTGTTGTACAATTTATCATAATTTTTATTAAATTTCATTCTTCTGTCGATCTTATCATGTATATTCATAATTATTTGTTCGTCAAGGAAGTTGATATCACGTCCGCGTTTCTGACCACGTGTCTCGAACATTACGTTATTAAATGTTTTCATTTTATTAATATAAGTGATTCTTTAATCTCAAATTCTTTGATGTAATATTTGTTATACAAGTTCTTTAAATGAGAAAATTGGTCCGTGTTTCTGATTGATCAGTGATTAATTTTTAACCACTTCTGAGTGTTATACATAACTAATTCCTGTAAAGTGTTAAAGAATTGAAATTATTAAAATATTGTCTTTGTCTTGCAGCTCATCAGAACAAGATATTCTAGCAGGACGACTAATAATGGTATTTATATTTTATTGATATATATAATTTTCCTAATTTTAAATTGTTTAATGTAATGCCTTTAATATAAGTTTATTTATGTATATATTGAAATGATGAAAATTGGTCCGTGTTTCTGATTGACCAGTGATTAATTTTTAACCTCCTCTGAATGTGATACATAACTAGTTCATGTAATGTGTTAAAGAATTGAAATTATTAAAATATTTTCTTTGTCTTGCAGCTCATCAGAACAAGATGTTTTAGCAGGATGACAAATAATGGTATTTATATTTCATTGATATATAATTTTTCTAATTTAAAATTTTTTAATGTAATGTCTTTGATATAAGTTTATTTATGTACTTATTGAAATGATGAAAATTGGTCCGTGTTTCTGATTGACCAGTGATTAATATTATAACCTTTTCTGATACACAAGTATATTATAATTCTTGTAAAGTGTTGACTGATTGAAATTATTAAAATATTGTTTTTGTTTTACAGCTTATCAAACTTCCAAATTTATACAACATCTACAAAGTCTACAAAGATCTGCAAAGCTGCTTAATATCAATGTGGTGAACTGTGCATCTAATAATTTTGTGCAAATACTACGTTTTGCAGAAAGCAAATCCAAGCAAATTTTTTTTTCTGTTATATATTTGTGTTCCCATTGTTGATTATTATAAAGTTCTCATTTTTCTTCTAGGTGTTCTTCAAAGTATAATTTTATTTTATTTAAGGAGAAATGATTTAATTTTGTAATATAGTTATATATAATGTATTTTAAGTCTGTCTTGTTTATTATTAAAATATATATGGATGCAATTTTTTCTTTTATTCCCACATCATAATATTGTTCACGAATAGAATTATCAAATTTACATAAAAGTTTTCACTTTTCCGTTCCTAAGAAAATGTGAAAAGTGAAAATTTAACGTGAATTCGACAATTCCATTAATCGAATTCACGTGAAACTTTTCACTCGTTATGTTTCCGTTTCTAGGGAAAAATTACATGATCGATGCCTGTATTTTAGTGCGGTTCTAGTGCACCTAAAAAGAACAAACCTGTAAGCGCACGTGCCATGTGAGTACAGTGTTTGAAATTGTTGGCAGTGGCGATAGAAACGAGGTTAAATCTATCAATCTGAAAAATCAGTCGCAAAGTCGCTATGGAAGTTGAATCTGTTAAAAAGCATCGCCTTAAAAATAAATCAGAGGCTAAATCAGTGATGAATACGAATGAGAACGACGCCCAAATACAAATTTGTTTTGTAACCAAGCAGCAGCGGTAAACCATTATTTTTCTCTTTTTCTTTATGTATTCATTTGCGGTTTTTGTGTATGATTTTCTTCGATTTCAGATATGCAGTACCGAATTATCCTTTATCGACGCACAGCTCAATAATCCCCGATGAATTAAACACTATAGTAAATACACTTCTGAAAGGTGAGGAGCTCCACATGAGAACTGTTTGCTTTAATATCTCAAACTGTTAACTTTGTTTATTTCTGAACGAATTTCTAATCGCAGAAGTAAATTTATATCTGATTTCATTATCTAATTATATCCAAATCATGTGGCTAGGCATATTCTGACAATTTTCATTAGAAGATCAAATGATTATTCACAGAATCAAATGTTATCGAAGATGATGTGGAGTTTGATTTTCTGGTCTGTTCGCAATTCCTGCGTACTTCTTTGCTGGAACATATTCAGGAGAGAAGCGGTTCTATAGAAGAGTTGATAGAAGTGGAATATGTGGAGAAGTATCCTTCACCAGAACCAAAAAATTGTTTGATACATGATGACTGGGTGTCAGCCGTCGCCAGTTGTGGGAAAAAATGGTTGGTTTTGTGATTGTGAAAACTAAAAATGCGTAGAGTGATCTTAAATATAATTAAGCATTAATACTGTGAATTGTTTCACTTAGGATTCTTACTGGTTCTTATGACAACATGCTTCATATTTGGACATTGAAAGGCAAACATCATCTTGTGATTCCTGGACACACATCTCCCGTTAAAGCAGTGGCCTGGATATCTCTTAACGACGACAAGGCTTCTTTTGTTAGGTAGCTTATCACGTAATAGCAGTTTCGTATCGCTTACATGCTGCATATATGCAACTTTTGCATACATAATTTTTCAAATATGCTCACTTAACCAAATATAAACGAGTTTGAAGTAGATTATTATGTGTATACACGCAGTTCATCGATGGATCAGACGTGCATGATATGGGACTGGGATATAACGAAGAATTCTGTTGAATGTGTACATATCTGTAAAGGACACAAGGGAAGTGTTGAAGCGGTTGGCATCAATCATGACAAAACGTTAATGGCGACTGGTGCCTGGGACAATATGCTGTATATATGGTCAACGTGTAAGTGTCCTCGCAACAGAAAATTGATATTTTCAAAGAAATCCTAATTTGTCCTTGAATCATGTTTCCAAGACATGAACATTATACGATACAATGCTCTTGTAGATTTAAAGGGTTTAAAAAGTTTGGAAATTAGAAAATAATACTAATACAAATGCTGATTAATGAAATAAACTTCCTTTCTTGTTAATGCAGCTACACAGGAGGAGGACAATGATGGAGAATCCGCATCGAAAAAGGCAAAGTCAGAGTTCGCTAATAAAACTAAGGTACATAGAAGTTATTTCATTAAATTAAAAGATTTATCTTGTACCGAGGATTCTGATAATATTCCAAAATATGATTTATGAGAACTATTATCAATGTATGAAAGCAAATCGATTTATCGTTGTGCATTACTACATTTATTTTACACGCAGGTTCCAAAGTGCGCGATGAAAGGACACAAGCAGGCGATCAGCGGGATTGTGTGGTGCGACAAAACGGAGATTGTCACGGGTTCGTGGGACCACACCATAAAGATTTGGGATTCCGAATTGGGCGGCATCAAGCACGAGATCCACGGCGACAAGTGCTTTTTCAGTATAGATTATTCGCCGCTGGCGCGCGCTGTGATAGCGGGATCGGCCGATCAACATGTGCGACTGTACGATCCGAGATCTACAGGTACTTGAAGCTTCTAAATATGAAGCATAAAATATGCAATTTTACTCGTAGAATTAAAACAATTATTAACTTGGATGGAGAAAATTTGTCCAATTTTTTATTTTTTTGAAGTAATTTCTTCAGTCTTCTTTATTTATAATTTTGTATTTTAGAGGGCACAATTGTGAAAGCGAAGTTCAGTTCTCACACGCAGTGGGTAATGTCAGTGCGCTGGTCGACGGTGAACGAACACCTCTTCATTTCGGGAGCACATGACAATATCGTCAAACTCTGGGACACAAGAAGGTTGGTCGCAAATCATAACTATGGCAAAAAAACACATTTCCGTTTAGTTGCATCGAGAAGTTTAAGAATCGTTTTAGAGATCGAGAAGATTGCCACTTAAAAATTGATATTAAATCATGAAATTGTTAAAAAATTTTCATATTGAGATTGCGTACATATTCGGATATTTGCTGCAGTGAATCGCAGCAACAAATCCAGTTTTTTGGAAAAAAATAATGGTAGTCTTATCTGCTATATAATTTATATAATCGCATTAATAATTCTTTTCTAGCCTCAAGATACCGCTCTTCGATCTCATGGGACACGAAGACAAGGTCCTTAGCTGCGACTGGTCGAATCCTGAGCTGATAATGTCCGGTGGAGCGGACAACACTCTAAGGATATTCAAATCTAAGCACGTTCCATGCTACTTATAGAATGCGATATTATAGAATTGTTATACAAAGTAAAACTTGACGTATAATCGACACCGAAATGACCAAGACACTTCTTTTCTTCTAGATAACTTATATGCATTCATAGTTTAACAATTTTAAAGAGATCTGTAGAGATCATTTTTGTAATTGCTGAACAATATCTTCGTTTTATTTGGGAATTTTTTTCTTTTCTATTTGTCGAACATATTTCTTACTAAGCTGCGAAAGAAAATTCGCACGTAATCGTAAATAAGTTAAAATTCGTTCGATCACTTCGCTGCGTTACACGCGAAGAACGGGATCGATAGACGGTATAATCTATTTTTTCCAGTAACGAAAATAATTTTAATAAATGAGAAAAATAAAAAAATAAACGTACCTTGTCTTCTTGAATCAACGGTCATTCTTCCTTGTAGTTTTTTTTTTTTCTCTTCAGAGTCGCAGTGGATGGGTGAAGTAAGAGTCGGTTCGCTCGGCATAAATCCCCAAAACAGATCGTTTATTGATCAAAAATAAGGGACGATAATCGTTACGAATTCGGGATATCGCTTCCCCGCATCGCGAAGTAATTATTTACCAAACCGTTTCTTCATTACTCGTAAGTAACTCTAAAAAGACCACCGATTCAAGTGCACGCCCCTACAGCAGAGACATACATAGGGTGTATGCGATAATAGTTACAGGAGCAGCGAAAAGCATGCACCCTCGCAATTGCGTGCGTCTCTCCCCTTCTTTCTTTCTGTACAAATCTGGTGTGAGTGTGTGTGTATAAGGATGGGCTCTGTTTTTGCGTGTATGTGTATGTGTGTGTGTGTGTGTGTGTGTGTGTGTGTGTGTGTGTGTGTGTGTGTGTCTGCACGAAATGTGCTACAGTCCTGTGTGTAAAGTAGGCAGATAATGGTTCTTCGAGTACACATTTTCCCCCTTTTTTTTTTCTTTTTTTGTTATCCTTCAAAGTAATATGCATACATTTACGTACACACACGCGCACACTCCTCTCGCTCGCACACTCTCATCGGTATTTTCTTTCGGCTCGCAATATCGTCGCGCGATTTTCTCTTCCTAGCTCCATTTTTTTTGTGTTCTTTTTCCTCTTTTTTTTTTCTTTTTTTCGTCTGTTTCTGCTTGTTTGTTCTCCGAAGACCCTATCTAAAAACCCCCACGTCACCTCACACAAAGACTAGCGTTTTTTTTAAACGATCCAAAATAAACTAAGGGCACTTTTTAGTGGCTTATGCCCCATGTGTCGTCGTCATCGCGTGTGTTACTTCTTTTTTTTTTTTTTATTATTATTTTACGTCTTACCTCGAGCATTTTTTTTTCGTTCTTTTTTTTCACTTTTTTTTCTTTGTTCATGAAAAATCTAATTCTGACTTGTTTTTCTTGTGTTAAACTTTGTTTTATTACAGCACCTATTCGACTTCCTAAGAGTCTCCCTAGATCTCTTATCTAACTATGACACAACTTGCCTTAACGTCTAAAGATTTTTTTTTCTTCACATTACATGCTAAAACACCTTCGCCGCCTTTGCCTTAAAAGTACTCTCGAAACTCTACAAATTGATCCTCGCGCGTGGATTGAAAAAGAGATTTCAGCGTCTGACGACCATCGTTCCCCCGTTTTATTTATTTTTTTTTCTTTGTTTCTCTCCCCGTGTTTCTTTCTTTGCGCTTTTCCTCTCCCTCCTTAAATATTAGAAAGACGACACAAAATAAACGACAACACGGAGGTACCCGTGTCTCTCACACACATTCTCTCTCTCTCTCTCTCTCACTTTTCAATTACAAGTTCCGCTTTCCTCGCTGCGCAGTCCTCACGTTCGTCGATGAACACGAGCAGAATACAAATGCAAGTAGAAAGGAGGGACGGGGAGCGCGGAGATATATCGGGGAAAGAAGGGGGGAGGTGGAGGAAGTGTGTAGGAAGAAACTAAGATGTCGAGTAATTACAGCTATGTCATTTAACAAACTCGTGTAAAACAATGACTTAAAAACTTGGAAAACTAAGAACTGTACAAGTCGAAGTACAAGACGGTGATCTAGTCACTTCAGACCTCGTTTTATCGCTAATTCATTTTCTCTCTCGCACGCACACACGCACATGTAACACACGCACGCACGCACACACACACACGCGCGCGCGTTCACACTCTTAAGCCGATTTCTACTAACATTATTTTACTTAAAAACATTCTATATTTTTTTTTCGTTTCGCTCGATCACGTTCCTCACATCGCGTCTCACCCTTTCTACAATCAGCCTATCAACTACAGTACGTCTAATCTAAAAAGTGCCTAAACGCTAGAAGTCTAAAGAAAGCTTTTACGGAAAGCAGCATTGTCTGCAGCAGCAGGAATCGTGTTTTCCCGCCCAAAAGGTTGGTTGGTGGCGAGGCCCGTGGAAGCTCGCCGGCGTCCCGACGCAGCCGAGAAGGAAAAGAAGACGCGTCGCGTCAGAAGCGAAAAATCGCGCCGCAGGGGGTATCGTTCGCCTCTGACGTCGCTTGAAGAGCCGCCACCTGAGAGCGGGGGGGGTTTGCCCCCGTTGTCGGTAGGATCGATTCTCTCTTTTTTTTTTTGTGCGCCGAAGTCTGGACGCTCCGGGACGACAAAAAAAAAACCACACACACACACCCCGGTCACTTCGGTCCCTGCGCGTCACACAGGAAGATTCTCCATCCCGACCTCTGGCCTCGGGGGTCCCGCGAGCTCCCACGCTCCACCGACTCGAATTCGAAGCTCACGTCCGGCCAGCCCACGCACCCGACCCGCGGTGCGCAGCAAGCAAATAGTTCCTTACTATTATACAATTATACAAGTAGTTCATATATATATATTTATACTGTAGAATAATATATATATATTTATCAATTAATCAATATGAATAGCCAGTCAGTCTTGACGGGTGCGAGGTGCATAGGCTGAACGGTGCCCCACGCCCGTGCCCCCCGTACCCGCGACAACACACATAGGGAAAGGGGTTCGGGGGGACGCGGGGTATGAGAGGCATATATTCGTATCCTAACTACTAAAAACTAATCTTCTACCTAGCTAACTAGAAATTTAGCCGCTTCTTAACCGATAAAAGAACGCCGCTCTCTCCTTTTATCTCCTAAAAAGCCCGGGGGCGGGGCGGCGAGTGCTCGCTCGCGCGCTCCCCCACCGCGCTTCCGCTTAATCCTAAGGGTTTTTTTTTTTCTTCATCAAAGTTTCAATTCTATCTATGCGAAACATCGCGCGCGCAAAAAAAAACGCGTCACCGCGCTTTCTCTGTACATAATAACTACACTCACGATCGCTCTTGCCTTTCTCTCCCTCTCTTTCTCTCTTTCTCGCTCTCGCTCTCGCTCTCACTCTCACTCTCTCTCTCTCTCTCCCTCTCTCTATCTTTTCCGGTTGTCACTCATTGCCGTTCCGTTTCTCTCTCGCGGAATCTTTCTGCATCCGGGGATCGCTGAACGCGCGCGGCGGCGCCGATTAGGGCCCCTCCTCGTGTCCTCGCATCCCTCGACCTTTCCTCAAACTCTTCTTCCTCCTGAACCGGTCGGCGCAACCATCACGCTGCTCTGTTTATTCCATTTTCATGTCTTTCTTGGTCGGTCACGATAATTACTTTAATTATCTTTTTTAGTATACAAGTCTATTTAGTAAAATTCTCAAAATTTACTATTAAAATCACATATGGATTTTTTTTGTCAGTCAAGTGGTGACAATCTCGCCTTGTGCAACAAATACACAATACGCATTTGCTAATAAGTGCTTCTCTTACGCTCTCTCTCTCTCTCTCT